CTCATATATAAGGGCAAGATGATAGCTTTGAAGGAGCTTTTAATGGTCTAGTCAAATGCTTCTTCCCTTAGATCTTCTCTCTTGTGCTCATTTACGTGCCTCGCTCTTTTGGGAAATGAAATGTGGCTAATCATAAAAACCATATCAAAATGTACCCGTAAATGACATATTTATAATACTCAATTAGGGTTCGAAAATTGCACAAATTTCCTTAGACTTTATTGTAATAGACCAATTAAGTCGCAGACTTTTATTGGAGCCAAGAGATGGACTTAATCGGATTCACATGACTCAAGCTCCAATAGATATTTCTAATTGGGTCAACTCTTGATCAATTGACATACATTTATTAACCCCGACTCATTCCTACCAAAAAATCGAGATTGCTCTCTCGAGTTAAATGACAGTTATAGAAGCAAATTATAATCCGATAACAATATCCTCCGATTATCAATCCACAAGTCAATCCCCATTTGACAATCAATATGTTGAAAATGACAAAATGATTGTTTTGCCTTTCAACATGTACTACCCTCTAAGTTCCATTTTCATAAGGCGAATTTGTTGTGATTAGATCATGATATAAAGTCCAACGATCTCATCATCGAACTACTGAGTTCAGGTTCGATTTGCCTATAGAAAATACTTTTGATCAAAGATCGTCTCATCTTGATGATTAATGGATTCCACTATCGCAAGCATATGATCTCTAATTGTTTCGGCTAGTTTCTCAAAACACCGAAATCAATCTTCTAATTAAGACTTCACTCATTGGTGCCTTAAAGAAATTAAATTAGCAACTAAAGGTACATTACTCGCTCGGAATTTAGATGACCTGTTTGATAATCAAGTAGAGTCTCATTTCGAGCGGTCACAAATGAGTCATTTACACGGTCCCATTCAATGTGCATCAAAAGACACTATTATTCTTATTCCAAAATTTAGACAAATCTTAATAAAAATAATGCAATCTTATCAATATCAAGCATCCAACTTTATGTATTGATTGTAAACAAGATTTTTTTATCATATCACGAATTGTCTCTTACTATACCCGACCCATCGAGTATATAATTTGTGACATCCTATATAATCATGGAATCTTAGACAACAGTTTCAAATTGTAACACGCGAATAATCGAACGTCGATTCACAATGTTGTTTTACAAAATACTACTCGAAAAATGGTACCAAATTAACAATTTCCCACTTGCCCTTTTAGATTATATGTGACATATCAAAAATAAACATCCCCTCAAGATACCCATCAAAAGTCTTAGCTGGCAAGGTCTTGGTCAACGGATCCTCAAGATTATATGCTGATGCAATCTTGCTGACTATCACGTTTCCTCAATGAACAATCTCTTTAATAAGGTGATATTTCCTCTTAATGTGTTTGCCACGCTGATGACTCCTCGATTTTTTATCATTGGCAATCACCCCCTATTATCATAATAAAGCGTTATGTATCCCATTGTCAAAGGTACCATGTCAAGGTTCAAATGGAATTTCTTGAACCATATAGCTTTTTTAGCAGCTTCACAAGTGGTTACATATTCTGCCTCCATAGTGAAATCAGCAATACAAGATTGGTTGATACTCTTCCATACCACAGCTTCACCTCCTAGTGTAACTATTGAACCTGATGTAGACTTCCTAGAGTCACGATCGAATTTAAAATCGAAATCAGTATATCCAATGAGATTCAGATCATGTCTTGAATAGACAAGTATATAATATCTCGTTCTCTGAAGATACTTGAGTATATGCTTCACCGCTACCCAATGTTCTGATCTTGGATTAGATTGATAAGAACTAACAATTCCCCACAGCATAACAAATATCCGATTTAGTGCAAAGCATAGCATACATGAGGCTTCCCAAAGTTGAAGCATAAAGAACCTTCTTCATGTAATCTATTTCCACTGGAGTTTTGGGAGAATGCTACTTAGATAGATGAATCCCACGTTTGAAAGGAAGTTGTCCTTTCTTGAAATTTTACATTGCAAATCTAGATAATATTTTGTCAATATATAAAGCTTGGAATAATGCTATCCTTCTATTTTTCTGTCTCGTAAGATATAGATTTCCAAAACATAATTGGATTCTCTCAAGTCCTTCATATCAAATTGCTGTTACAACCATTTCTTTATAGATGACAATGTTCCTACATCATTTCAAATTAGTAGAATGTCATCTATATAAGGAATTTAAAAAAAAAAAAAAAAACTACTTGCTTTCCTTGTATACATTTGTGTACACAAGGTTCATCCAGATTTTGGTCCACACCATAGGTCTTAATGGTTTAATCAAATATTACATTCCAAGAACCAGACGCTTGCTTGAGTCCATAAATGGACCTCTGCAACTTGCAAAATTTCCTTTTATGGCCATCTTTCACAAACTGTTTAAGTTGTATCATGTAGATGGTTTCATTAAGACGTCCATTTAAAAATATTTCTTGACATCCATTTCTCAAATCTCATAATCATAATGAACAGCAATAGATAAAATGATTCAAATAGATTTAAGCATGACAATCGACAAAAATGTTTCCTCATAATCGATCCTTCTCTTTGGATAAAACCCTTGATCATTAGCCTTTCTTTGACGATTTCAACCTTCCTATCTATATCTCCTATCCTTTTATAGATAGACTTGCATCCTATAGGTTTGACCCTATTAGGTGCATCTACAAAATTCCAAACCCTATTGGAATACATAGATTCATTCTATGAGTTCATAATAGATTTTCAAGATTCAAAGTCTACATCATCCACTGCTTCCTTAAATAAAGTGGGATCTTTTTCTTGCACAGTAGAGATATGCCTGATAGGACTCTCCATAGAGTAAGTACATAGAATGTGGTCTTACAACCCTCCCACTACGAGTAATTGTTAAAAGTGCCTGATTGTCCAATCTGACCAATGGTCATTCCTTTCCTTCCACTGCTTGGTCCTATCCTTGATTAAGACCAAAATCCTCATTATCCCCATTGAGAGGGGCATGTGGAGATGCAATGATGTGTGCCTCGTTCTCTACTACCTATGGTTTTGTTTGTCTATAAGGTTCTGTGGGCATCACTTGCTCACTTACCTCACCAGCAACCATTGGTTCTGCAAAAGGTTCCAAGTCATCACTATTTAATTCTACGCAAAAATCTGGAACTGGGTTGTTTGAACCATGTTCTAAAACCTCTTCCAATAGAATCTTACTAGTGGACTTGTGTTCTTCTATATACTTGTCCTCTAAGAAGGTTGCATTTGTACTAACCTTCTTATCTAGAGGAATATAGAAGTAATAACCTCTCATTCTTTTTGGATATCCTACGAAGAAACAAACTTCTGATCTTGATTCCATCTCATCCATCGTTCCCTTTAGCATATGTGACGGACACCCCCATATCCGAATGTGGTGCAAATTAGACTTATGCCCATTTCAAGAGGTGTCTTGGGAACTGACTTATATAGTACTAAATTTAAGATATAAATGGCAGTTTGTAGTACATATCCCCAGAAGGAAATAAGCAATGAAGAATAACTCATCAGAACTTACCTATCTAAAAGAGTTAGATTTCTTCTCTCCGAGACACCATTTTGTTGGGTAGTTCTTGGCGCACTCAGTTGGAAAAATATCCCATTATCCGATAAGTAGACCTTAAATTCTTGTGATAGATATTCGCCACCTCGATTGGATCAAAGTGGATTGATACTCTTACTCAATTGTTTCTCAACGGAGACTCCTTGAATTTCTCCAAAGCTTCAAATTCGTGAGACATAAAGTATATGTATCCAAATCTAGAGTAATCATCTATAAAGGTGATGAAGTACTCATATCCTCTCCTAGTCCGAGTGCTAATGGGTCCACAAACATCAAAATATACTAATTCCAAAACTTCTTTAACTCTTAGTCCCTTAGCTTTAAAGGGTATCTTGGTCATCTTTCCTTCTATACAAAATTCCTCACATCTAACTCATTTAAAGGTCCATCTTTTATCAATCTTTGAATTCAATTTAGATTAATATGGCCCAATCTAAGACGCTATAAGAGAGTTTCATTAGTACTAGATGACCTCTTTCTTTTCCTAGCAGTAGTAGTATTATGTATAGAATTCATCATAGGACTTAAGACATGGAGACTATTAACCATATGACCTGAACATAAAATAGAATTATTCAACTTAATAACTATTGTGGAATGGGTAAAAAGTGCCTAATAACCAACATTATATAAAAGTGCAACGAAAACAAAGTTTCGTGTACGTTCGGGAACAAATAACAGTCATCCAAGATGAAATGTCTACGATTTTCAAAAGATAAAGTAAAAGTGCTAATAGTTTTGGCAGACTACTGCTACTATGCCAACTCTAAGAATATACTCCCTTTCATTGAGGTGCTTGATTTCCTGGAACCCTTGTAAAGAATTCCAAATATGATTAGTGGCTTAAGAATCTACAATCCAAGTATTAGTAGAATTAACCACTAAGCATAACTTAATGAATACCTTGCTTCTCCTTAGGTAGGTGATATGGGCAATTCCTTTTCCAATGTTTTGTGTACAAGAAAAATACATTCTCTTTGGTTCCCCATCGATAGTAGTTTTCTTCCATTTTGACTTGCTATCTGACTTTTTTGTGTGGCCTTTTCCTTTTATTTCCTCATTTGCAACCAGAAGGCTTAAGATGAAAGAGTTCGACTATTACAGTCAAAGCACTTTCACTTGTGGATTTCAGAACAGTTACATATTTTGGAGTTCTTTAATTAATTTTGTCAAAGATATGTCCATCTTGTGTAGATTATAATCAATTATAAACCGTGAGAACATCTCAGGAAGAGTTTTTAGAACCATATCAATTGCATCTCGGAATCAATGACAGCTCCTAAAACCTCCATGGCATTGAAGAGACCAATCATGTTTAACATATGGTTTCACACAGATGTGCTTGGTTTCATGCACGCGTTCATAATTGCCCAAATGGAAGCTTGCCTAGCTTGTTATCTTTAATGTACAAACATCTCTTGAAGGCTCTTCATTATGTCAAAAGCGGTTTCCATATTCTGATATTTATGTTGTAATACATTTAACATGGTTACCAAAATATAACAATGGGTTATCTCATCAGAATGATACCACTTTTCATATGTAGCCTTTTGAGATCTCATGGAATCATCTTTGGGGATTTCGAGACAATCTTCAATTAGCAAAAATTTATGTTTTTCAGCGGTAAGAACAATATTAAGATTCTTTTTCCAGTCAATGTAGTTTTTTCCCACAAGTTGGTTTTTGTTGAGTATAATTGATAATAGATTAAGTGATATTTTTCTATAAAATTAACAAATCGCGTATTAATAAAATGAGCAATAATCTTTTGTATGATGTATGTATATGAGTATGTAAATATAGACTCAAAACTATATTTTTAGCCAAATACCTTAAAACCTTACAACTTTTAACATGTCCTCTATAGGAAGTCAATGTAGTTGTCGACAATGTTAAAACCCTCTCGCTCATTTTATTGAGTTAGGCATCTCATACCACAAAAAATGAGGATTGATTATTGTTTGACCTATGAATATTTTTGTTGAAACCTATAGGAAGTCCTCCAAAAAAATTCATATATAAGTGTAATAACCTACGTCAATAATTTTTGAAATATCCAAAATATATAAGATGCCTTCTATAAGACAATCATTCCATTATTTCATGATTATACCCAAAGAATAATGCGGCAGTTATAGCACAGTTTTGGGGTGTCGACTCCATAGGAAGATGGACGAATTGTTTAAAAATTTTATCAAACTAGAATTTCGTGAATTATGTGAAAATGATTTGTCAATTGGAATGAGATTTAATTATCAACATGCGAGAATAGTGAAGCGTCCAAATTCCTTCAATTGGATTGGATCATCAATAATTCATGGTTTTTTGCTCAATTAGAGTTTTTCATCTCAACTCTTTAATCAGAAGATTTAACAATGAAAATCAATCAAATTTCAATTGTAATCCTAGGATCTAGATTTTTGTAAACCATTCTTACACATGTTTATTGAACTAAGATTAAGAATCGACTATATACACAGCGCATAAGACAGTAAATGATATGTCAAAATTCAAATTGAAATTCAACAATTAGTTCAATTCCATAATAGAAAAAACATGATTGAATCTATGAAGAATCTAGTAAAAGTTAAATCAATTTCAAAGTAAATTCATAAAAGAAAGTCTAGATCTAGAAGTGTTTGACAATAAAAATATCAATTTGCATGAATAAAAGATGTGAAGTCGCCAAATCCAATGAGTTCCTTCGTAGCTTCACCTATAAATTTAGTTCTCCTTCGAATTTTTTAGCCCAAGATGAGAGAAAAATGTGATGGAGGTGAAGAGAGGCGTGTTCTGTCAAGTCTAGAGCTTAAAACCATGTGCCAAGTTGTTTCCAAAAGAGGTTGAACTAAATAAAGATATTAAATTTTTTTTCAGAATATCCTGTGCGACTACTTTCAGTATTTTGGTCATAACATTCTCTCCCGATATCCGATTAAGGAAATTCAAATTGCATTGGAAAGATAACACAAAGGGTTACAATTTTGCTAAAGTAACTCTTTCTAAATTCGAAGGTTTACAAGGTCAAAATTTGATCTCAATCTTCGACTGAAAATCTGAAAAATTCTTATGCGGTCGGAATTTGATTTGTGAAAATATTATGGCCATATTTAACTTCTTTTGACTTCTAATTGCACCCAATTGACCCCTAGCACTCTCGAATCATCATTTCATCGCCTGTCTCATCTATGAATTATTTGCAACTTGGTCTTTGAACTTTCATTTTGGTCATTTTTCACTCATTTCTTCCAAGTTTCGCTTTTTTCATCAAATTGCGACATAGATCAAAACATAACGATAATAAGTTCATTTTGGCATAAAGTAATCATACAAGTGCAAAATATCATAATTTTCCCCTCTTATCATTTCATTTTAAAAAATATTCTATTATGAGATCCAATTTCAGTTAATTTAAAATAATGTAGCTTTCCCATAGGGAGAATGATGCAATTTGATACTAAATATACGTATTTTAATAGCAAATTGAACGACGGAGGAGGCTACAAGTTCATACATGTTTCTAAGCCCTTTCTCGCTTATTATTTTGAACCGTTAAGTTTTCATTTAATAATTAATGTGTAATGTGCCAAATATAAATAATTATAATGACATTAAATTATTAAATATAATTTTTTTAGCCTCCTCTAATTAATTTAGAGTGATAAAAGAAATTTTCAATACTAATGCATATGATTTTAGTGCTTCGGGTGGTGTTTCATTTAATTTACAACATAGATAAAAAGTATACATTCATTCACCATCCATAAAAGCAACAAAAGCAATAATTAAATGAATTATAATCATTCATGGCCCATCCTGAAAATTAAAATTACAACATAGATAAAAAAAAAAAAAATCATTGGGCCACATTCCAACCCAATTCTTTAATCTCCTTGTAGTCCAACCTATGCAATGTCCAAAAATTGGGTCAATTTAATTTTTATTCTTTATCTTTAAAACAAAAGTCCTTATCCAACAAGATTGGCCCAAGTCTTAAAGGAAAACCCAAAAGCTCAAAATTAACCTAATTTTACAAAACCTAGCAAAACCATCATGTATTAAACATCAACCACCCCTCTCCAATGATGGCGGCGGTGACCCCAAAAGAGATCACCATCGCTGTTGCCGTCGAGCGACGACTACAAGTAGCTGCAGCTCAGCTGCATTTGGCCACATCGACTGTCGCCACTCCGATCGAGGTGGTCGTCGTCATTGCCTCCAGCAACCTTCATGGTTTTTGCACGTTGTTTATCTTCATTTCTTCCATTTCTCCAACAATAACCAGCAACAAAACCTATTATCTTCTTCTTAATACATAATTCCAAAAAATGAAAAAAATGAAAAAAAATTACACACACAAAACTAGCGCATTATGGCTTACAACATTTCTAGAGAAATCAACAAATGAATTACAACGGGAAGCGAATAAAAAAAAATCTATGGCAAGCCAAGCCAGTTTCAAATGCTCCAAAAGAAAAATATGTTTGAGTAGTAAGTCAACTTGAATATATTTGTTTTTATTTCAAAATCTATAGTTATGTTTACCTAAGTGTTTTTAATTTATAAATAGAAGATATTACTTTAAGTAACAGCGAAACTTACAAATGTTTGATTAAGACATTATGTTTGTTTTATGTTTGAGTGGTGCTTGATAAATATAACATGGTTTAATTTTGTTGCACAGTTTTTCATGGCTTGTATTAACAAAAATAATGTTATATAACACTAGTGATACTAGTAAGCTTCTCACACACTTAAAAAATAACAATACATGATTAGAGATGGCAAAAATAACCCGTCAAATTTGATACCTGCGGCTCTGTCCGTAATAAGGTGGGGATCACCACTTAATCAGGTATTCATGTCAGAAAAGGGGCAGGGACTTGGCACCCAACGCTGGTACCGATAACAAAGGCCCAACTCCACCCCAACCCAACCCAACACATTTGAAGAATTCGATACTTTAAATGGAAAATTCTGCAAAATTTCATTAGTTCTAATAGAAAATGGCAACTTAGTGCTTGACCTATGATTGATTATAACATTAAAGTTTTGATTATAACAAACAAGCCAATCTTATTTGCTAACAAATTGAATTTAAGTGATTATAGTTTTTCAAAGCATACTATGAAAAGTTGATCATGATCGTCAAAAGATCAAAAGCTATCATCACAAATCAAACTCATGAAAAAAGTCAAGATAGAAGAATTTAAGAACCAAATTTCGGAGGAAGATCAAAAACTTTCTTAGACAAAATGTAAAAGTGCTAACACTTTAATATTTGACAATGAATGGTTAAGCTCAGAATCCGTCTGTGCAATAAAAACAATTTTTGTGCAAAAGTCATTTGAATGCAACATTTTGATCAACTATGAAAATAACTCTTGAAAATATATTTTGACTTGAAAAATATATTTTTATCTTGAAAAATTAGTTAAAAATACCATCTAAAAGTCCATGCCTTTCAAAACTTCCAATTGGTTCAAATGGGGCCAAAATGCGAAAAGATCGAAAATTGTCGTCAGTTAATCAACGGAAAGGGATGGTCGACCGGCCAAAGGTGGTGGTTGATCGAAAAATTTCAAAGATCCAAAATTTGACCATTCCGACTTCTGATTTTTACTGTACAAATGGTTATATTGATTATCCGGACAAGAGATACCGAACAAGTCATCTGAACTTAAAGATTTTTTTGACATTTTGAAATTTATAAATACCCTCACTCTTTCCATTCTTCATAAAAGATTCAATAACATTAAAGTAAGATATTTTTTGTTTTGAGAATTATTTAAGTTTTCCTTCGCATTCATTCCCTTTGTTTCTTTATATCAAAACTTATTTCTATCATTCATAGAAGATATATATTTTGAAGAAAAGTTTTGAACTTACATTGTATCATTTCTTCTACTTTATATCAAAATTTTGATTTATTGATCAAACTTGTAAAATCATAATATTTATCAAAGTTCAACGTCTCTCTTTTTGTCTTTAATTTATTATCATTATCATTATTCATTAAAGAGGGATATATTTTGAGAAGATTTTTTTAACTAACACTGCATTTATTTTTTCATCTTCTCATTAAAAAACTTTGATTGATTGAATTAAACTTTGAAATCATCATATTCATCAAAAGTTTTCTCATATTACACTTGAGTCATTATTTATTGTTATCCATTGAAGTGTTAATCCATCTTAATACTTAATTCATTTGTATCATTTATTAAGAGAGAAATTTCATTGTAAAATCATTTCTCTAAACATGTGTGTCATATTGAGGTCCCGTAAAAACTCAATAATACAAGGATCGGTGCTCCTTGTTGTGAGTTACCGTGTGGATCATATTGAAGTCTCATAAAGTTCAATAGTGTGAGTCGTATTAAAGGCCCGTACAACTTAATATTGTATAAGAATTGGTGTTCAATGTTTGTAAGTCACCGAAAGTGTTGTAAATGGTTGAATTGCACCACAAGTCAATCAATATAGTAAAAAGGCCTTGTTCATTTCGAAGAGTTTGGTAACGAAGGACGTAGATCAATGCTTGAGATCGAACCTCAACAATTATCGTTTGCATCTTCTCTACCATTTTATTTATTGTTATCTTATTTATATTTAGTATTTAATTGATCTACTTTCTTTTACTTGCTTATGATTATTAATTGATCAATATATCCTTTGCTTCCTTGATTTAAGGTTATTTTTCGAAAATGTTATAAAAACCAATTCACCTCCCCCCGGTTAGCTATTCTTGGACTATCACTTAAATCATCCAAGAAATATGACAAACAATAAAATCATTAATTTACTAAATATATTTGAATAATTTAACTTTTAAAAATAAAAATAAAAAATATTATTGTCTTACTTTAATGAATGGGAACAACAAATTGAATTGTCAAAAGCTTTATAAAAAAAAATGGTAATAAACGGGGCAAGGCTCCGCCCCACCTTAAATGGGTAACGGGGCAGGTACGGAACGAGTTGGCAAGGAGGTTGCCCCGCCCCGCCCCGCCCCGCCCCGCCCCGATATCCATATACATGATTATAATACAATCTAACACTTCAATCATCTATTTGGTCTCTTTGACAAACAATTTCCCAAGTTTGCAGCTCAAAAAATAACTCTTGCCCATATTATCAGAATTTTCATCGTGCTTCAAAAAAATTTCAAACTTATCAAACAAACATTTCAAAGAATAATCATCTGCAGCATTCAATATTCATATTTTTTGAAATTGTTCAAACTTTTAAGTGAAGAAAGTGTGTGATCAGCATATATACAAAATAATTTCATGAAATGTAAGATTCAAATCCAATTTCTGGATATAATTCAAAAATGAAATAACTATTTTCAAATGACTAATATCAACATCAATAGATATGTCCTCACTTTACAACATTTTGCTTACTCTATTAATAACTAATCTATATTATACAAAATAATCATGTCAAATAAAAACTCAAAATTTATAATGTCAAAAGATATACTTTAGTGTTCTAAAGAGACTTTTATTTGTGACACTTGAAATCTTATCACTTTGAACACTTTCAATTTCACTTTCCCCACACGTTTGTAATAGTAACACGTGTAACATTTTACGTCATCCTGAAAGATTAGTACGTTTGCTCATTGGACAGCTAAATTGATTTGTTTCTATCAAGTGTTCTAAAGAGACTTTTATTTGTGACAGTTGAAATCATATCACTTTGAACACTTTCAATTTCACTTTCCCCACATGTTTGTAAGAGTAACACGTGTAACATTTTACGTCATCCTGAAAGATTAGTACGTTTGCTCATTGGACAGCTAAATTGATTTGTTTCTATCAAATGTTCTAAAGAGACTTTTATTTGTGACAATTGAAATCTTATCACTTTGAACACTTTCAATTTCACTTTCCCCACATGTTTGTAAGAGTAACACATGTAACATTTTACATCATCCTGAAAGATTAGTACGTTTGCTCATTGGACAGCTAAATTGATTTGGTTGATTGCATTTGAACTTTATTTTGCTCACAAATTTTCATAAACTATATATAATAATTTTTTTTTAAGTGTCCCCTACAAGCGTTATCGTAAACTATCACCCATCTTGACCCTATAGTCAGGGTCACCACTAATTGTATGACGAACAAAAATTTAACTTTTATTTTTAATATTATTTAATATCGTAAAATTTTCTCTACCAGACGAGTCATAATAGCACGAGTTCCAACAAGTATGAAGACTACTAGCAGAGTTTGTTGGATGAGATCGTGCATCATTAACACCCATATCCATTCTATAAGAACATCTCCAGTGATGATGTAAAATAGAAGTTGTCTTCAAAGTGACTAAAAATCTCTCAAATCGAGAAATGCAAATTGCATTTTTCAACATATTATTATTTCTTTTTTAACATCGCAAAAAGTGAATTTATTAGATATTTCTATTTTGGAGATTTGAATTTAGATCCATCAAAATGCAGAGTAATTTTGGAAATATTAATTTACACCACCACTAGAAATGCTCTCAATAAACAAATATGGAATTTTTCTAATTCGAACGGTACGATCCACACTTGAAAACCACAAATCATTTGTGCCCATACAAGCACAACAAATGTATCAACACCATATGTACTCGGTGGAGAAAGGTGTTGATTAGTGAATTCTGCA